TAATCCTTATCCAGTCAGTTTACACATGGAATGAAGTCAAATCACCAATGATTAGCTCTCAGGCAGTGCATGCACAAGGCTCTGGGTTTAACTCTGAATAAAGCAAGAGTCAAGATCATTGTTGCTCTGCCAACCAGTCCCAGGTATGCAGGGCTATGAATCTGGATGAACCATGGAGAACTACCAATTGAATAAATCACAGTGCAAAACAGTCCATTTTTCCATTTTATGTCATGTATCAATTTTCTTTGCCAACATCTTAAAAATTGTTTTTATACCTAGAATGTATAAAGAAATTGAGATGGCAGTTAATTTTTTATACTTGATAAATTAGAAATACTTCACTTACTTCTCTAAACATGCATTAAGTTCATTCATCTCCTGCAGAGAAATTACAAGATTTAGAATGGCACCAAGTAGTTCCAGTAAGTCTAAACCGTGCAGACTGAATAGCTATCTCCAGCTGTCAGAATTAAATTTTTAGTTCATGTTTGTATCATCCAGCAGTTGAACAGTTAAATTCATCATCTAAACTGGAATTATGCTCAGGATACAGTATTATGTTGTCAACAGTTAAACTTACCTAATCTATTCATAGTAGTACAGGCCGCTAGGATATGCAATTAATTATCTAAAGTTAAAAGAAAAATTGTTAGGTCTTTCGTACTTTTTGCTGTCCTGTACAGCCTTATCAACAGGCCAAAGAAACAGACCTGTGAGCAAAGCAAAACCAGTGTTACTCTATGAGGCGTTTCCAACGATGAGCAGCCACAGGAGAGGCCCCATCGGGATAGACCTCAAGACACTCTCCAATGCCAGTGACAAACAGAAATTGTGATGTGCTGCAACAAAATAATGCAAAAATAGCAATGGACATGAAAGCTACTTAGTGGCCAAAAAACCCCTTCATGATGCTTAACGAGCTTGTGTTCCAGCCAGAGTACTCAGTAACCAGAACATAAATGGATAAACACCCAAGTATCACCAATTGGCTTTGTTACTTGGGAAGGGGGTTGCTGGCAGATGGGAGTTCCATTTTGTAATCCTGCTATGCCTTACATGAACTATGAGGAAAAAAATTCAAGTGTGAATCATGACCCTCAATACAGTCATGACTGCTAACATTTTGGTCTATTCAGTGTATTCTGAGAAAATTGTTTCAAGAATATCAGTATGTAAAATACTTGAAATCTAAGGTTGGTTTTTTGGCAATCTCCTAGTTGGAACTAAAGCTAACAATCTTTTTTTGTGGAAATTTTTATCTGTTACTACATTTAAACAAACATGGTCCAACACAGTTAAGACGTACCTTTCAACTCCAGGCCCATGTTCAAACAGAATCCTGTAAGAATAAAAGGTATCTTCACGTACCACCACCTAAAAAGTGAAACACCAAATCTGTAGTTTGCTCATACACTGCACTTCACATTAACTTTAGTCTCAGAATGAACATCATCACTTTTATTTGCATAGGTAACCATTAATTATTTACTTCTATTTTCTTGAGGCAATCTCACTATACAGTCCAAACTTAATTCCTCTTGCATCAGCCTCAAGATCACAGATCTGTAATCATTGCACCAAGCAGTAATATTCCTTCTTTAATGTATCAAAACTCATACCAAACAATGAGTTCTGGGTTGCAAAAGAGGATTTATTTTTTGCACCTTGTCATTTAAGTTTTAGTCCACAAAAAGACAAAAACACATGTAAGTGCCATGGTACAACGCAATACATACTTAACAGAAATCAGCTATACAATGGCAGTCCTAAGGCAAACCACAGTTGAAATAGAAAAACTATTCACCAAGTACACTAGCCGAAGCTACTTTTGAGCTGCTGGGGAATCAAACCAAGGGCGTTATGTTGGGGTTAAAAACTGTGTTGCCAAGTATGTTGCAGCTGGTTGGATGCCAGTGGCTAATGTTTTCTTTCAGATGTTCCAGTGACAACACCAAGCTCTCACTGAGTAACACACACTGATAGAGAACAACAGGACTCAAAAGTGGTAGCTCAGCTTTTCCCCAGTGTTTGAAAATTTGAGATGTTATTTCTTTAGTTTCTTTCACCAACTCGTTCAAGTTCTTATTCTTCTAGTTCTTGGTTTAAGACTTCAAAGATATCTCCATGTTAATCTTTTTAAAGTCATTTCTTCCTATCTTAAAAAAAAAAATCCCACCACTTTTTGCATATTGTTTACCTTCTTTACCATTCATGTTTATCTCCTTTTCAGATCTTTCTGCCCTCTGTCCGTTATTTCTGGCCTTAGAAACTCTCTTTGTAGACAAAGCAGCTTCTTTATTCTTCTCTCTTGGTAAACACACATTCATCTTGCTTGGAAATTCAGAACTTATAATGAAACAACTCTCCTCCTGCATTAAGAAATAACAATTGCAGGGGCCAGGGAGGTGGCTCAGTACAATAAGCGCTTGCCTGGCAAGCACAAGGGCCTGAGTTCAACCCCTGCTTCCGCAAAAAAAAAAGAAAAAGAAAAAGCAATTGCACACTAAGTGCTAGGTTACTTGGAACTAAAAACCCAATCTGACACTTAAGATACTTATATTTTCACAGTCTAACTTGGAATAACTTTATCAATATGCTCTCCCTTCTGGGGTTCATCCCTTGCTATCATGTGTAAGAACCTGTGTTGGATCCTCAATAAAGAAACAGTATTTCTATTCTCCATCTCCTATCCTAAAAGTTGTTATTCAGTCTTTTTCAAAATTTAAATGGAAAGCTAGGTATGGTGGTATACAGTGAGGCAGGATCGAGATCTAGGCCAGCCTGGGTTAAAAGGAATATGAAACCAAATAAAATGAAATAAACTACCTACAATTCCTCTACCAATGTCTGCCTTCTTCAGAAGACAAAATAATTCAGAGGGTTGGCCAGATAGCTCAGCAGATTAAAGCACCTGCTTAGGCAGGGGCAGGGACTAGGAGTTTGATGGTTTGCTGTGCCAGCCCTGCCCCCAGGGTGCCCTGAGATGGGACTGAATGTGGTGGCACTTGCCTATAATCACAGCACTTGGGAGGCTGAAAATAGGATCGCTACAAATCGGATGTTTAGTGAGACCCTGTACTAAATACATAAATAAAATTCAGTCACTTACTACTAATTTGATATCACATGCATCATGTTCAAGATGTGTTGTCTCATCTTCTGCTCTGTAATAGTAAAATGATCATAAATTAGATACAATTTTCTTACAATTAAGATAGTGTCCTCCCCATCCCTGACAAGGTAAGCATGGTACATCCTATTTAACATTGAAAGGAGAGGCTTATTTGGCCAATCAGCCTAAAAGTAATCCGTCTATTTGGTCCATGTATTTTATGTGTATTATGCAAAAACTGAGTCAGGCATGGTGAGACACACCTGTAATCCCAGCACTTGGGAGGTTGAGGCAGGATTGCCATGAGTTCAGGGCCAGCCTGGATTACACAGCAAGACTCAAAAAAACCAAAAGAAAAAATACTTTAAAATCTGAGCAGAGCTATTTTAAGATGCAACTTACCCTGACTCTTCAATAGGAGAAATGGAGCCATCATCATCCAAGTATTTGTATCTACGACTATCAAGGTCGTCTTTTTCTAAATCCTCACCAACATTCATTTGTTTCAATGATTCCTTAAGGTGATATTCGTACTTCAGTTTTTCAATATAGTTAAAAAATCCTCTTGCAACAGCTTGCTACAAGTTAAAAACCACACGTTTTATCAAAACTAAAGCCTCTGCAATTCTGGACCAAACACATCAATTATTACCACTTTACATTCAAAAAGTATTCTTGGGCTGGGGAGATGGCTCAGTAGGATAAGCTGAGTTCAATGCCTGGACCACGTTAACTAATACCTTCAACAACATCCAATTGTCAAGTATTCCAAGAATATACTGTTAGCATTAAACGAAATAACAGCTGGCCTGCAATTCCAGCACTGGAGGCTGAGACAGGATTGCCCTCAACCCTTGTGTTTTGAGGCCAGCCTGGGAAATCCAGTCTCAAAAAAAAAAAAAATTTCAAAGTAACATCTACTTAACAGCCCATACATGGGTTTGACGTGGCTTACAGCCAAGTAGATGTCTACATTAGATCAACGGAATACTATACATAGGAAGATTTGGAACACTGATCCTCACAACTACTTCAGGAACATGCCACTGAAAATTTCACCTGGAAACCCAAGTGAAGTCCAAACTAAAGGGAAGCAACTTTAAGTATAGAATATCAAAACTGCAAACTTCCTTTTATTCAAAGGAGCCAAAACATTTCAGATATTTTAGCTCTGCATAATCCATATATATGAGGGGGGCCTGCCCCTTAGCTCAGTTCTTTAAGCAACTGCTTCAACCAAGCAGTCAGGTTCAGGTTGTTGTGGTTCAATCCCCACAACTCAAACCAGCCAAACCTGCCCTGAAGGCATTTGGAGAAAAAAAAAAAAAAATCCATAATTCATATATTATGAACTGACTCACCTCAAAACTTAAAATCTTCCTCCAAGGTAATGGTTTCCTTCCATCCTCAGATTGTAAAATTGGAAACGTAGGTCCTTTTTCTTTGATTTGTTTTTTATCTATGTTTGATCTTCTAGTGTTTTTCTTTCCTTTTGGTCTTCCTCTTGGTGTTAATTTTGGCTTATATTTCCTCTTCTTACGTTTCTTCTTTTTCTTGAATCTTTCAAAAATAGCCTTCAAAGTCAGTGGTCTTGGTTCTATGGATGAGTCACTGGATGAATCTGTTTGAATATTCTCAGGTATATGAACCAATTTCCTCACAGGTTTTCTTTGAGTCCGTTTAGGTAAGGAAGGTGCACATTGTGTTTTAAATAAGCTGCTACCCGATGAACAGCTATCACTAGAAAACAAATTTTCTCCTATTACTAAATGCTTGTTACTAGTAGTACACAACCCCCAAGAGAATTATTTCTTAAGACCAACTCAGAACACGCTCCAAATAAAATACTGTTAGAATGGACTCTATCAGATAGCCCTTGACTCCTGACCAACTAAAATGGTCACGTTGCTAAAAAAATTAATTTCATTTCATTTTCCAAGAGAAAGACGTAAATTGCCTAGAAGTTACCTGGCATTACAACTTGCTACATCTGAACAGCCTAAAGGGCCAGCCAAAAATAGCTCAGTGGATTAAGGGGTGTGTGGTTCGAATCCGTAGGCCTGCCTGCCGCTGAGACTGGGTATGCTTGTAATCCCAGCTTTTGGGAGGCTGTAAACAGGCAGATCACTGTGAGTCTGATCTAGTAGAGAGACCCTGTACACCCTGTAGGGCCTTCCCTAAAATACAGAAAAAAAAAAAAAAAAAGGACACTGCATCAAATATCTAAACCGCCTACTTAAAAAAACAAAAAAAATTTTTTTAAAAAAGCCTGTAAGCACCCCACAAAGAAAATTCAGCCAAAGTCAGGATACCAGGAAAACGTATTTCCCCAAGAATGTCTTCCAGTAAAGTATCAGATTCTAAAGTAATGTGCTCCTGATAATTTAATAAATTACGTAGCTGGTTAAGTTTGGAAAGTGTTAGCCAGTTTCTTTCCCAAATCCAGATAATTACGTTTACCATCAATTACATGATTTAAAATTTCCAAATCTGCAACATTTTTACTACATTCAGTCTCCCTGTTAAGGCCATTTACCTTTGATTTTCAATTTCTACAGCTGCATCAGACGTCATACAGTTAACAGGATCCATTCCTGATTTTTCCATCACTTTTTCTTGGTCTTAAAGAATTTCTGAAATTACAAAATTCAGTGAATGTGTTGTGGCGTTCCTAAAACAAACGCGGTACATATACAAGCCAGTATCAAGTAAAAAGTATCGTTACAAACCCTAACATCACAAACTTGTACAACATTCCAAAAACAGGAATCGAATACTCACTAAAACCTCCATTTCTTAAATGCCCAACATGACCCCCAAGAAGTGCTTTGCTCTCTTAAGTGAAAAATCCTAAGTCAATACCAACTGCTCTAAAATTAAACTCTCACCATGGGCAAGGCAGCTAGCTGGATGTTCTCCCAAAAAGAGGGCATGATGATGCTTGTAACTCTAGCACCCTGGGAGGCTGAGGCAGGCTCGTTAAATCTGAGCATTGTCTGGGCTAAGGACTTAAAACGGTTTCAAAACAATTAACTAAAAATGTTTGTACAGTGCGAAGGCCCTGGACTTCTTACTCAGCACCACACACACGAAAAGTATAAAAAAAAGGCTGGGCATATACTTAAATGATATAGCCCTTGACTAAAACGTGCAAAGCCTGGGTTGATTCTCAGGGCCGCGCAAATAAAAACCGACATCCAAAAAAACCATTAACGGCACACGCGTGAATTTAAAAAACTACAAAAATGCAATGGGCTTAAAAATCCACCCCCTTAAATTCCCGAGTGGTGGCGCACGCCCCGAGTCTCTCGGGAAGCTGAGGCATCGAGAGTTCGAGACCAGCCCGGATCACACGGAAAGACCCTTAT